TTCCTGGCCTCCATCCACACCTAGTGAATGAGGATCTAAAACTCTGCATTTTAAGGAGCTTTGCAGGTGATTTTTAAAAATCAAAACTAAAATTTGAAAACCGTAGGGCTACTGGATGGATTAGAGGAAGAAAAATTAGTTCTAGGAAACTAAAAAATTATTTCAGTAGGACACATGAAGCAACCTGAGCGAATTAGTGACATTCTCATCACCTGAATGTGAGTTTTATATAAACTAGTTACTTACAGGTTTCAAGCCAATTCCATGAAAATTATTCAAGTCTTTTTTCTCTCACTACATATATAAATGAAGACTAGAAAACACAGCTTGGGGCTGTGTCAAATCTCTCCAGCTGCAAGCTCCAGATGGAACTGTATGTGCTCTGGGAGTTTTTCATTCCAAGAAGCAGTCCAAGGCAAGTCAGAGTATTTTGTTCTGCTCACATCTAGAGGAGAAACAGCAAAAGTTAAATTACGTAGTTAAGGGTGTTTAATTCACATTGTAATCCCAGTTCTTTGGGAAGCCGTGGCGGGAGGACTGCTTGAGCCCAGGAGTTTGAGGCCAGCCTGAGTAACATAGTGTACTACAAAAAATATGCTGAGGGTGGTGCCTGTAGTCCCTGCTAAATGGGAGGCTGAGGTTGGAGAAAATTGTCTGAGCCCAGGAGGTCGAGGCTGGGGTGAGCCAGGATTGTGCCAATGCACTCCAGCCTGGGTGACAGAGTGAGTAAGACCCTGTCTCAAACCACAGCAACAAAAAGGCATTTCATTAACACGGAGTTATAGTTTTTTAAATCCTGCTCTGATTATATGAAATTCAAAGGGAACAAAAGGTACAGTAAATGGTGAAAAGTCTTCCCTATCCTACTTCTTCCCTGGCACCTCTTTTGCTCCTTAGATGCAAACGCTGTCACAAGCTTCTTGTGCACCTTTCCAGAAAACCTATGCAACAAAACCAGATATGCATATTCTAAGTATACATAAATATACAGGAATTTCTCATTTGGGTAGTCTGCAGAAAAAAAGTTTTCACAACAGGCCCAAGACTGCTATCCTTAAAAAAGTCTGCTTCTGGCTGGGCACGGTGGCTCACACCTGTAATCCCAGCATACGGGGAGGCTAAGGTGGGAGGATTGAGCCCAGGAGTTCAAGACCAATCTTGGAAACACAGTGAGACATCATCTAAAAAATAAAGAAAGGGAGGGAGAGAGGAAGGGAAAGAGAAAAAGTCTGCATTCAAGACTTTTAGGTGGTGTCTGGGAACTTGGATTTGGGAGGGCTCCCAGCATTCCCTGCCTCTCCAAGAAGCTTCCATAGTAGACAGCACTCCACACATGTTGTCACCGTGTGACGCTGGTGTCCTGTGACTCCATGGGGAGTGAATGCTCAGAAACTTGTGCCGAGATTCCTCCAGTCTTTGCCCTGCACACTCTTCCCCTTTGCTGATGTGGCTTGTACCCTTCTGCTGTAATAAATCTTAGCTGTGAGCACAGCTGAGACCTATGAGTTCTCTTAGTGCATCACTGAATCTGGGGGTAACCTTGGGGCCCCCAACCCAGAGAGATACGTGTTTTCTTCTATATTACATTCTTGTAGTGTCATAATAGATATTAATATACTGGTTGCGTCCAGGGTTCCTGGCCCACAACCCGATGTCTGTTGTTACAATGCTGGGTGCATTAGGCCTCTGGGGCAGGCCTGAGAAAACAGAATCTCTCTGACTTTCTTTCCTATTTTTAACTACCGGAAGGCAGGCCTCTGATCCGTCCCTGCTTTCTGAATGTAGGTCCTAAGACCCTGTCCCAAAAAAGGTCCTACCTGTATACTGGGAGGAGGACTGATGTCATGAAATTTCCATTAAAAAAAACATTAACAAGAGAACTGGGTTTGGGAAGCTTCCAGAGAGTTGAACACGTGGAGGCCGACAGGAAGGTGAAGAACTACTCATCCATTTGTGGAGGTGGGGGTGGTTCACTCATCTCCACAGGGACCCTTCCAGACCTCGCCCTGTGTTTCTCTTCATCTGTATCCTTTAAACTATCCTTCTCAATAAACCATTACACATGTTTTCCCCCAAGTTCTGTGAGCTGCTCTAGCAAATTAACCGAACCCGAAGAGAGAGTCGTGGAAACTCTCACTTTGAAGTCAGTCAGTCAGTCAGAAGTACTTGCCACTGGTGTCAGGGTTGGGGGAAGTCTTGGTGACTGAGTTCTCACCCTGTGGGCTCTGACACGATCTTCAGGTAGACAGTGTCAGAATTGAATCGGAGGACACTCAGCTGGTGTCCACGGCTTGGTGGTGGGGAGAAACCCCCCCACATTTGGTCACAGGAGTCTTCTGTGTGGATGATTATTGTCGTGTGCGAGCAAAGAGGAAAAACACGGTGTGAGAGTGTCCCTAAAACAAGTCTGATTCTATTAGAACCAGAAGGCTCCATTCCTTGAAAAGACAGCCAGATTCAGTGAAATCGTTCATATTAAGAACAAACAGTCAGACCTCAGGATCTTGGGGGATTGGGTCCAGGACCCCCGGAGATACCCAAATCTATGGATTCTCAAGTCTCTTATATAAAATGGCGTAGTATTTACATATCATCTATGCACATCCTCCCATAGGTCTTAAATCATCTCTAGATTACTTATAATACCTAATACAACAGAAATGCTATGCAGAAGCTGATTATACTGTTTTTGTTTGTATTTTTATAGCTGTATTATTTATTTTATAATACTTGTGATCTGAGATTGGTTGACACTGTGGACGCAGAACCTGAGGTTATGAAGGTTCAACTGTCCTTCCAACAGGGTGTATCAGTCGTCTCAGTCCAGCACTGCCATTTTTCTGTAACTCGTCAAGAAAAAGATAGCCTTCTGGACTTTCATCATGACTCTCTATCCACTCTGGAGTGAACTGGCAGTTGATAAGCGGTCTTGCATATCATTACAAATTCTCCAAGATCCAGTCTGGACCAGATACTCTCAGATGTGCAACGGTTAGCATGGGATTAACTGCTTTTTGGGAGATTTCCTTTTTCTCCTTTAGATCTCCTGTTTCTTGTACCCCCTTTCTTTCTCTTTCATTGTATATTTCCTTGTTTGGTGAAACACACCCTATTGTAGCTTCTTGAGAAAGGATGTGTGATAAGTAAATATTCTGAAATTTTATGTGCCTGAAACATCTTTTTTTCTACTCTCCCACCTGATTGACAGTTTGGCAGAATTTTAAGTAGAAATCACATTAGTTTAGACTTGTCAAACAGGTTGTTTCATTATCTTTGAGCTTCAGGTGTTGCTGTTAGGGAAATCTGATGACCTTCTGATCCTTGATCCATTGTGACTTCTTTGTCTCTCCAGAAGCTTTTAGGATCTATTCTTTGTCTTTTCATTCCAAAAACTCATCCTTCAGTCCTGGAGCCTTGATAAATTACTTAATAATCTCTTCTTATTTGTAGTACTCTGCTTTTCAAGCAGCTTTAAGAATTACTTATTTCTTCCCATCTGTATCACTATTCCAATTTTCTTGTCTTTCTTATTGTCTTTTTGATCTTCATTCCTCAATGTTCTTTTCTGCTGATTTTTTTTTCATTTCTGCTATTGTATTTCTCATTTCCCACTATCTTATTTCTTTATATCCTGCTAACCCTTTCATTGAACCCTGTTATGTTATGGCTTCATTTTATTTTGTCTTTCTGGGCATACTGTGGAAATTTTTTGAAGTGCTCTCCCTGCAGTGTCTGCTTCTCCCATATTCCTTCTCTGTTGTTTAGGCCTCTTCTTTCTATAATACCGAATTTTCTGGGTTGCCGTTCATGATTAAAAATAAAAAAGTAAAGGAGGAAGCTGCTCCGAGTACATGGTCAGTGCTTTTGACTTTGAATTTCACTCTACGGTGATCTAGGCATATGATTTGTCAAGAAGATCCCTGATGTCAATATTTTGGGTCAGCTTCTTAGGCTAATTAGATTCTGATCAGCCTAGAGAGGGACGTGGGTGAGGATTTCAATTTTCAGTCAGCACAAAGTCGCTTATTTCCCCTGTTTTAGGTGTAGCACCCAAACATTCACCGGGATTGTACCCTCTCCGGGTAATTAAATCCCCCAACTTCAGCCTGGGTGGGACAAGGGCAGTTGCTCAGAGACAAGAAGCTGGAGGAAGGATCTAGAGATCTAACTGCTTCCTTGAGCAGCCTTCACCCAGTTCCCCTTCTTGTCGATGTCCCTTTCGTGCTTTCCATTTCGCTGCTGTCACCTCCTTGTCCTCGTGACTTTAGGTTTTTCCTTGAATTTAAACATAGGAGTAGGCAAAGCGAGATGCTTGCATTCAAACCTCTATCCTAACTCAGACCTGATATCCGTACAGTAAAAAGCTTTTGGCCAGTCCAACCACGTTGCTGTCGTCCCTTCCAAAGACACCCTAGTCCTCCTCGGTTGGGGACTCTACCTTCGGACTCCACAAGGAGTGCACCACCAACCGGAGAGCCAAAGAGCGGTGCGGAGTGTTGGGGGGATTGTAAGCGGTAGCGATGACATCCGTTTGGGTCAGCGACCCGCCTGCCCGGCAACGCAGGCTCTGGTTTCGCTCCCGGGGTGGCTCCCTTGGCCTTTCACACGCATCCACCCGCGGCGCCGCAGCCGCGAGACTGCCAGGCACCTGCCATCCCGCCCCGCCCCGGACAGGCCCCGCCCCGGACAGGCCCCGCCCCGGACAGGCCCCGCCCCG